AAATAAATTCCTGTTTGTCCAAAAGATGTTTTTGTTAAACATCTAGAACTCGATAGTATACAGTTTTTAGAAAGTCTTACATTTCTGCTCTCTTGTTTTTTTGTCGTACATAGCTGAACACAATGGAATGTTATATAGTCAAAACAATAACCAAGATCTAAGAAAAGAAGTCATTCTTATGTATGAAGATAGCAACAATGAAAACTATTGATTACAAAAAAAATTAAAGAACACCTTTAATCAGGAATCACAATATCTATGAGTACTATCTATATTCTTCAAGGATTCTTATCAATATATGAATCCTCAGCACATGAAAATTTGAAGAGAACTTTATGTCTTATACATCATTTGATGCATCCCAAATGCCTTTATAAAAGCACACACATGATATCTTGATTCAAGATAAGTTACAAAATCCGGCGAAGTCTCTTAATTATTTATTATAAAAATACAGATTAATATTTTGAAAAAGTTTTCTGTTTCCTATCATTTAGCATTAAGAAAATATTAAATGCTTCAATGATCTTAAATAATAGAGAAAGGATAGCAAGTGTGAAATTATGTTAAACTTGTGATTGCATTACTTGTGAATTTATCTTATTTAGTTTATTAAACTTCTCCCATCAAATTCATTTCTTTCCTAACGAAGTGTAGCAAAGTTTCATTGTACTTCTTCGACAATTACATTTAATATATAAATAATTTGATTAAATATATCATGCTCACGAAAATACTCAACTATTATATTTTATAAATCTTTAATGACATGTTTTTTTCTCTTTTGTATTTTCTAATAAAACATTTATTAAATTAAAGTTTTTTCCATTTTTTGTCGCAGACTAACATTGTTTTATTGAAGTCTATCTGCAGGGATATTTATTATCATTAATTAATAAAAAAACCAAGAAAAGTTGACAATTTACAAGATCATCGTGTTCTTAAAATCATTCTTAACGTTGGTTCTTTTTGATAGAAGTAACAAAAAGAGAAATAATGCACGTGTTAATCTTCAAGTAGACGACATCGTTAACTCATCACTTCATTACATGATGCACATTTAAACTTTGAAAAAAAATAAAAATTGCAAAAAAAATCTCATTTGATTTTTAAAATGAAAGAAGAATTAATTATTTTCTCTTTCCCATTAAAATATGTAATTTGGTTAACGACTCTCACAAGCATATAATTATGTTAAACCGGATCAACAACTTCAAGAGAAATAAATCAACCTAGGCTATTTTTGACTAGTCGTTAAACTAATTGATATTCATTAATAGGTAAACTATTGTTACAATAAAAATGGATTCATTAAGATAATAAGCGCGCAAAATTAAAAATGACATTTGTATTGACCCTTTAAAGAATTATAAAATAAAGGACTTTGTTGAATTATGAATTAAAAATCAACATAATTAAATTCTATTGTGAACATAGTGACTTTTAAATAAAATCTTTGCTAATAGAAATTCTCGTATGATGTTTTGTTCTTATGTCATTTAAAGAAAAAACAATTTGTTTTTGTACTTTATTAAAAAATCATTTTCTTTTATTTTTTTTTCTTCTTCTTCTTCACGGTTGACAACTTCTATTTTGACTTTAATCATATTAAAACTGACAATAGAAGATTTCAAGCGATGTTCATCATTTATGTTCGGTTTTCTTTTTTGATAATAGGCAGTCTTTTTCAATAGATAAAATATTTTAAAGACTAATTATCTCCGGAGAAAATAAAATTAAAAAACTATCTTTAGAAACATTATTATCTTCTTTTCATTGCTCTTTTTATCGATCGAACAACTCGTTCTTTCAAATGGAATTCGTTATTCACAAAAAAAAGAAGGTTGGTGACCTTTGATTCTCTATTATATAATATGTATTTTCTAATAATGATTTTTGTTAAATCGATCACTTATTTGTATACTACGTTCTCTTCGAAAAAGCTTGCCGTGACACTATTTAAACCATTCTAGCTCAAGGATCATATATAAGTATCTCCAACTGAGTGTCAAGTAACTATACTTAGAAAAGTCTTTCATTTCTCCGTGCTGATTGGAGACATTTGCTTTAATATGTCATATCTGTCTAATCTTTAGAGATTAAGCAATAAGATGTTAGAGAGATTTGCTTGTTTGAAAAAATGTTCTCTTTTTATGATAGAACCAATAAACAACATGTCATCTAATTAAGCTTGACAAAAAGAACCATTTGGTATGAATAATAAATAAGTTGATTGAATACAGACTGATACAAACAAATATTTTTTGTAATCGATTTATTTTTAACATAAAGTTAAATTTTCATAAAATATATCAAGGTAAAACATTTATAATCTTAATAAATATTCATCAAATTAGAACATACAAGCAAAATTATATTGACATATATTCATTAAAATAAATAAAAATTGATTTCCAAACTATAGATGAAACTGTTCTCTTTTCTTGCTGTGTAATAATAAAATATAGGTAAATGAGCGGAAACTCTTTGAATTCTATGGAACATTGAAGCTATTGTAAAATAATACGCAGAAAATATAATCTACTATTCATGTCAGAAAGACTCCAAGCAGAAAAAAAATATTTATTTTTAGATTACATGTAATATAATAGGATTGTATTCCTATTACATTAGTTTCTTTAACACAATAACAATAAAAAAAAAGAAACAAAATAATAATGGATATATTCTATTATCATAACACCTTTTCAATCTGTAAAAGTATTCATTTTTCTTTAGTCATATTTACATTAATAATAATACTTATGCTTAGTTGAATTGAATTGATGTATATCTGATCGTTAATGTTACCTATCTTGAGTTAAATAAATGTCTTCAAGACTTTCTCCTTATCGGAAACATCATATTTTTCAAGAATGTCGATAGTAACCAACACTTGAAAGCAATTATAGAAGAATGAAAGAGACACAAAATTGTAAAAATCAGGTTATTAATATGCGTGTATGTGTTTGTGTGTATGTAACACTTAACACTCACAAGTCTGTATAGACAAGTGAGGAAGTCGCTGATATTTGGTTCAGTTGTACTTATTGAGGTAGAAGTATTGTCTAATGCAGTTCTTTTCTCTTTTCATTTGTTTTCTTTGGTTCATTGCTGTTCACTGAGCGTGAGAATGAGTGACTGTCATGGCACCGACTTTCAAATAGCTACGATTGATTCTATCAAACATACAGGTTCTTTATGTGAGGAACAGGCGACATAACAGTCGACGACAGTGTTCCCTTATTTTTTTTTCTCCTCCTTTTCCTCTTCCGTCTTGGTCTTTTGTCTACCGAACAACTACTATATAGAACGAAGAGAAGACAAGATCGATGAATAGACACAATGATAATCATGCTGCAAAAATCTTCTCTCTCTCTCTCTCTCTCCCTCTCTCCTCTTATTCTCCCCTAAGAGACTTCACAAGAATGCTGTTCGTCATTTCTCATTGATTACGATTACAAGACATTCATATACTCAAAAAAAAAACTACAATGTTTTATTTTGAAGAAATCATAGAAAAAACAAATTGATTTGTTTGTCTTTTTCGTATATTGTTTTCAACTTAAGTAAGTATTTTTTGAAGTTTATTAATATTAAATGAATTTCAATTGACAATTTAATTGATATATGAAATTAAATTGTAACAGGTGTAATATTCTTGTTTTTTTATTTGACATTTATATTATTATTATGATACTCTGTTCTTTTCCGTGCGGTTGAAATGATACCATATCAGTATAATAACGTAAAGAGAAAAAAAGAGAAAGAAAGAAAGCGAATCTTGAGAAATATTATTGAAGCGATTTATTATTGTATGAATGGCATCTTCTGCAAAGCGTCATTTTCTAAGATCCAGATTTCTATTATCATTATTGATTGACCTCAATGAATGTCTAAGCATGTTCTCGTGCTTTTTCTTTTCCCAACTGTTTTTGACTAGATGATTAATAGAGTACAAGAAGTGTTCACAGATCATAAATATTAAAATAAATTAAAAAATATATTGAATTATAATAAGAAATATTTCAGATAGCAATAATTGAAGAAAAACTAATTGTGATGTTTTTTTGACAGAAAAAAAAAAAATTTTCTTTTTCCTTTCTAATGTCTTCAGAACGGATTCTAACTAAAAGCAATATAAACTTGTGGCAATCTCATCCGTTATTTTATGTCACTTATTCCGTTTTTTCATCATTCTTTTTCTCAAGTGGTCAATTAAAAAACATAGAAACGATAGAAAGACGACTTGATAAGTATGTGTTAAACTGTCAGGCCTAATATAACTTAGTTAGAAGAGCATCATATGTAACAAAGAACCAATGTCAAGTCTTGACATCACATTTTAGATTTTTTGTTTTGATTCTTTCAACAACTCGTTACTCCTAATTCCATTAGAGAGTATCCAACTTATTTTGTCTTAACGTTTGAAGATAAATCAAATAATGTTCCATTCTTTAGAGAGAATGTTGCATTTTCTTATATCAATTACATATAAACTTCGACTATTCATTTTTTCTTCCCATGATAATTATTAATATAAACTTTTTGAACTGTATATTAAATTTGAGAATATTTTTTTTTTCATTTCTAGAATAAATACAAATAGAACGAAGATTATTTCACATGAACTTGACAAACGACTATAATTATAAACGTCGGTAACAATTATTTAACGAAACAATAAACATAAATTTGTCCATGATATAATAATATTTAATTTTTTCTTTCGAACATATTAAATCAAGTTAAAATCATTAATAAAATAAATATTATATTTTAAAAGTAATTTTTTTATTATTATTTTGTTTTTGTCTGTTTCAATTATATATGTAATATGAGATTATTAAAAACAGTAATGGAATATGATTTACTTTAACTTTATTAAATAGATTATATATTTCAGATTTAGAAAAAAACTATTAGATAAGAATATTATTAGATAGTTATATTGAATAAATATATATATATATTGTTTTTGTTTTCATTTAGTTTTAATAATGGAACCTGATTCTTCTATATTTGAAGAAACAATATCTGATATTAATATTTTACATTTATCACATTCAAATATATTAATTTTTAATTTTTCATCATCATTAACAATATTTCAAAATGAAACAATAACAACATCTTATGATTTTTATCGACACTTAACTGAAATAATTGTATATAAATACATATGTTTAACTATATTTGTTATTGGTGTTATTGGAAATTTACTTAGTGTATTAGTATTTAGTCGAGCATCATTACGACATCGTTCATGTGCTATTTATTTTTTAGCGTTAGCTATAACTGACATCGCATCATTATTTGCTTCATTTATTGATACAGTCCTTCCATCTTATAATAATGTTTCATTAACAATTAAATATTTATTTATATGTAAATTAAATCCATTAATGGTTTATTTTACAACATATCTCTCAAATTTTTTATTAGCTGTTGCATCAATTGATCGAGCTGTATCAATTCAATGTCCATTAAAATCGAAACAATTTTGTCGAGCACGTATTGCTATTTATATTATTATGACTATGTTATTTGCATTACTTATTATAAATAGTCATATATTTTGGGGTTTTGAAATAATTGATGAACAATCTCAACGAATCTGTTTACCATCAAAAACAAAAATTGTTTATTATAATCATCCAAATTCATTAACTTATGATCGTTTTTATGCTATATTAGATTCATTAGATATGTTATTTGCTGTTCTTATTCCATTTATTGTTATGTTAATATGTAATATAATTATATTGATACGTGTTATAACATCACGACGTTCAATAGCAACTGTTTTATCAACAACAGTACAATCAAAAAAATCACGTAAAAGATATGAAAAAGAAAGACAATTAACTGTTATGCTACTTGGAAGTGCAGCTGGTGCGTTTATATATATTATTTAATTAATAATATAAAAAGAAAGAAAGAATATTTTATATTGTTGTTTTCTTTTTTTTTTTTGTTCTTTTAGCATTTTTAGTATTTACATTACCAACAGAAATCAATGACACAGTACGTGCTTTCCGTCCATCAAATTTATCTCAGGCCAAAAGGTGCCATGGCATTAATGACAGCTGTATTTATTGCTATGGAACAATTAAATCATGCAATTCATTTTTATATTTATACATTAACTGGTCGAGTTTTTCGAAATGAGCTAATACAATTATTTAATTTTTCCAAATATACTTCATTAAGACAACAAAAATCATCGTCAATAAGACGAATGAATAATGATCATCAACTTAATAGTATATTAAAACAAAAAACTAATCATCATAATGCTTAAAAGAAAAAAAAACACAAACTTTTTTTCTCTTCTGTTATTAAATTAATCGTTTGCTTGTTTTGTTTTTGTATTTTTATTTTTATTTATAATTCCCACCACCATTGACCAGTTTGTATTGATAAGGAGAGATTTTCAGGTAAATGCATTATAGTTGTTAATTCATTAATCATATTTGAAAAAAGATCATATGCACCTAATGGTTGGATTAATATCCACCATGGATGTAATAATAATGTCAATGGATAAGCAAATATAAGCAGAAATATCAATGATAATATGCGAATTATTATACCAGACATTTTCTTTTCTAGTGTATTGCGCCAAAAAAACAAAGAGCAAAGACTAACAAATCAAATATAAAAAGGATTTTTATATCAATTAGATATTTTATTTTATATTGTTTACTTGAAAAAAGAAATATTTAAACATTACATAAATCGCTTTACAAGTATAATAAAGAGTTAGACTAATACAGATAGAATTGGCTCAAGTTACTCAAAATTAGAACCGAACTGAAACGATGCCATGTCTGGATCATATTATTAATTAACGATATAATTTAATGGATGTATTTATTCTCAGATTTTTGCATTCACTCTTTTTTATATTTACTCTTTTAAAATTTAATTTTTAAACTTTTTTCGATTTGATAAGTCAAGTCAATGTTAAAACCATTTTTTAAACCTGATATTCACTTTTATAAAAAGATGTTTTAGTTCGAGAGTAGAATTTATTGATTTTCTCACATATAGGATCTCGTGACTTGTCTCTTCTTAATATTGCCAATACACTGTTGCTTTTCGAAAGAAGCACAGACGAAATCTACATAAAAACTCTTAAAGTAGATACTTATCAGTCTCATTCAGCGTTAGAAGTTTTATTTTTACAAGTACAAAATTAATCATAAACTAATCAACAATGCAAAAGTCTTTGGAAAAAATGTCTATATCTTTTTTTGTTAGCAGCGAAATATTGAATAATGAAATAGCAAAGTGTAAAAAGTACACATATGAAAGAAAGACTTATTTATTTAACGAATTTATGGTGTACGAGAGTACTCTTTAAACTCATCTTAAACTATTTTTTGTAGCTCTCGAAAACATTTATTTGACGATTAATATTTGTACAAGGCGTAAACAAAATATCCTATTCGATAAAGAAAAGAAATTCGATTTCAACAATCGAATATTTTGAATAATTATCATTAATCAACAAAAATTGTCTGGATCTAATATTTGTTTTTATTTTATAATTTTTACCAAATTTATATTCCAACAAAAGATATATATTTATATATATAACAAAAAACAGAGTTTTGAATCAATAATATAAACAAAAGTCAACTCTAAAGAAATCATTGGTAAAGTTTCTAAAACACTATTCATAACTATTTTTTATTCGAATTTTGCAACATATGATACCCGAAATTCACCGACCAAAAATACAGAAAAATTAAGTTGCAACGACATTTTAAATCGTACTTTCGTATTGGAATTTTATTATAATAAATCAATGGTAAAGGTTTTAACTATATTAGACAATTTTTATTTATAAACTTGAACCTTTCAACTAAAAAAAAAACAGTTGAACTAGGTCAAGTGTTTGAGTATTAAGAAATTTGTCTAGACATTTTTCCAAAGGCTTTGTCATCAATTATTAGTTTTAAAAATTAATCTTCACAATGGATCAAAGTTTGATAGTCTTCTCTGAGATGAAGAAGTCTAATCTTGGTATATACTAAGGTTAATTTTATTGACGTTGAAGAAAATTATTTCTTTTTAGTCAAACTCAATAAGGCATCAACAATGAAGTTCTGTTAGCATTAACTTTCTAATCCAACTGATATATTCAGCAATTTCTTCCTAATAGAATATTAAAAATTCGGTTTGGCTAATAAAAATGCACGATTTAAATCTTGCGAAAAAATTTTTGTTTCTCTATGCAATGTATTTTTTACCATTTCATTTGTTTGTCTCATGTAATTTTATAACCTGTGACGCTTATTGACACTTCTACTCTTAATCCTGTTTCCCATCTCGATTAGATTTTAGTAATAAAATAAATTCATTGATAGTTTTGTTCACCGAGACTTTGAGTTACGAAATGTATGTTTATAATAACAATTGATGCTTGATTAATCTAGCACATGAAGATTATTAATAGGATTAAAATTATAATTAGATAATATTTAAAGATTCTTTTATTCAGAGATTTCACAAATGATGAAATAAATTAAAATGATTTCTTTTTTTTTATTTTTTTTACAAGAATAAATATAAATGATTAATATAAAAAATAGAGTAAAGACAATTGGATAGAAAAATAGATAATTAAATCCGAAGAAATACTTATGAATGGCTTAAATGATTATTTGGTTGTCATGAACATAATTGTCACTAGAAAAAAGAAAATAAAGAATTAACAACTTAGAAGAAATATTTATCTCATTCTATTGATAAAATATTCTTTGTTTGAAAAAACAAAAAATGTACATAAATAATTGTTGATCGATAGTTATTTACGCATTTCAAATATCTCATATTTCATTTAATAGAAAATATTCTAAATTAGATAATATTAATAGAGATTAGTTCGTCTCCTATTTGTTTTATTTTTTTTTTCATTTATAGAGAAATATATATATTGTTAATATCAGCTTAGCTTTCGATTAATTAAATATTCGTAATGATAAGAAGACAAAAGAAAAACTCGTTATTTAACGTTTAGTATTTATTGATAAAAATAAGTGAAAGTGCTAACAAATTTTCTCTTTTGTTAATATAGAAATAACTGTTCATTAACATGATATTCTTATTTGGAATTCTTATACAATATTAATTGTAAAATATCTTCAAACGACTTTAAAAATATTACAAGTGAACATATAAATAATATATAAAAAATTAGTGATAAAGTAAAATTGGAAGTGATGATTTAACTCGAGTATTAACACGTTTAATAATTCGTCTTGAAAATGTTCAAGTTGAATTAAAACTTTTTCTTTTTGCTGAACGAACTCAAACAGAATTGTTTTGTTGAAACAATTTTATTATAGAATGATTTATCTTTATTTGAAAATAATATTCAACAATGGATAATTCACTATGCATTTCTTTAATAAACAACTCTAAAAAAGAAGTTAAAGCAAAACATGTCTTTATTGAGTTTTTTTTCAAAAGAATATATGTAGGTATGTGAATTACTTTTACAAATTATTGATAAAACACATAATGATGAACGATTGACTAGACGTATTGTTCAATTAATTGAAAATTTAAGACGGTAAAAAAATATTTATTGAATAAAAAAAAACTAGACGATAAATTTGTGTATTTAGTCGAATGAGTCTAACAGCAAGTTTTATTTTAATTGATGAATTACTATCTTGTTTCTTATTATCAAATAATGAAGAAGATCTTGTTAAACTTGTTTATAATCGAATGAATAATTTTGTTGATGGTGAAAATAACGATGAGTGTGCTTGTGCTATTTTTAATATTCTTAGTAAAAATCGATCATATTTATATAAATCATCAAATGGTAAAAATTATCTTTTTTTATTTCGTTTTAAATTTTTTCTTCTTTAGCGGAAAGTGTATGTCAATATTGAAGATTAGTTTCTAAACTATTTTCATTTCCATCTGATGTTGTTCGAGAAAAATTTACAAGAACAATGCTATTAGTTATTAACAATAAACGTCTTTCAGGTTATTTACTTTCTTTCACATAAATTTTTATTTTAGATGTATTTTTTTTAATGCTAAGTATTATTTAACAGAAAATGCTTTATTTGAATATTTTACATCTGATGCATTCTTATATCCTTCAAGTGATTTATTTGTTTATCTTTTTGTAAATGTATTAAGTGATATTCATTCAAATGATGAAGATGAAGAAGAAATTAGTTTAGATCGTCGTTCATAGCCATCGTTTCAAGGTTATAATAATGTATCTGTATCAGAAAATGAAAGTTGCAATCATTATTGAACTTGTTGTGGGCAGCATCTTCTTGCGTCATTAGAAGAAATTTTACAAAAATTTTTAGTAGGAAATGTAAATAAAACAATTGATCAATGCCATCAATTAATTGATATTCAATTCAAACCTTATCAATGATTGTTTAAAAGATAACGATCAACAGTTCGATTGAATTCAGGATCCAATTTGTTTATGTTACGAAACCATTAAAAGGATTAAATTAGAACAATTACCATCATCATGAGCATGTGATACTCAAGACAAAATTATTCCGTGGATTGATTTGAAGTCAATTGTCTTGTTTTGTTTCTT